CTGGGACTCTTTGAATAAAAGTACCTGTGTCTTATAGGGGGTTCCCTGAGGCTGTGACATCCAGGAGAAAGCTGGCTTTCAGAAGACCTACTTCTGGGTCATTGACTTCAAGGTCAAGCAGTTTCTTTTCTGTCTTGCCAGGTCATGATCTGTGCAGCACAGCAACAGACACGCCTTCACCCCAGTAACCAACAGGAGGCACAGTGTGCTATAACATCACGAGCACCCAGCACCACAGAGAGAAGCAGGTCAAAGAAAGCACAACTAAAGACACATGAGCGCAATACTCCCACACTTCTTTGTGACTGTACTTCTGTTTCCCCTTGATCTTTACAGCACAAAGTGACTTCACCTCTAGTTTCCAGACTGAGATTTTTAACTTGACATGCTCTTAATGACCTTTGGACATTCTAAAGTTGAACAATAATGCAACAGGAATAGCATAATTAGTGATGACTATTTCTTAACAGTAATGCAATTACGTGAGGGGAAATTATAGTGAGCCCAGTGGCATTTGCCTTGAAAAGTCTGAAGGCAAGATGTCGCAGTATTCGGCTGCAGCACACGTTTGTCCGCTTTTCAACATAAAGATATATTTTTAACATCCACATTTTCTTAATATCTGTATTTTTCTTTCAGTATCAACTTTCATGTTTGAGCTTTGTACTTAACTAGCACTGATCCTTTCTAAATCTCCAGCTCAATTTTAAAAACTCTGGTATTATTCAGCTTCCTGACCAGCGCACCTTCGATACGCTTTTCAAACAGGCAGCACCTAGTGCTGTATACAGCAGTGGAGGCTTTGCACAGCGAAACACTGATTACACATTGGCACAAACGATTAACACAAATTGCGAATGTTGCTTGCAGCAAGCATGGGCATCAGTTTACTTACCCTGAGACATTTTTAGCAGGTTGTTGCTACTATTATTGGCGACTGTTTTTTTCCATTGTGATTTCCTTTTGAAATGACTGACCTCGGCATGTTCCATTAAGTAAACAGGCTTGTGGCCTCTCTGTCAGAAACTTTCCATTAGATGGCTGGTTTGCACAGAATGTAGCCCACGGCTTAAGTTGGCTGAGAAGACCACAGTAAGAGCCATTGCACACGAAGGTGATATTTGTCAAGTGAGTGTTCAGCCTTTAATATCTATAGGAAAAATTAAGAAGCCACAGTGTGCAGAGGAGAGTGATGTCAGGTCCGCCATGAAGGAAGTCACCTAGCCCTTTTGGCAGTTGGAAGTAGTAAAAAGATCTTACTCAGTTGTCTTGTAAGAAGTCGGGGGTATCTGCTTTGACAGTCTGGCTGGGTATGCTATTCCACGCTCCCACAAGCCTTTGTGTAAAAAAGTACCTCATCCTCCTGTGCTTAGATTTAAATGCACTAGGGTGACTTTATCAGTGCCTTTGAGGATTTTGAATACATGGTCCAGGTCCCCTCATCGTCAACTGAAGACTCAGTTCCCGCACTCCCGCAATCTCTCAATGTAGGACACTCCCCTAAGCCACATTCCCTGGAATGTGTCTGGCTTCTCTTGTGTGGATGGAGTCCAAAGCGGCACAGTTTTTTTTCCGATTCCCTGGAATTTTCCAGGTCTTTCAAGGCGCAACACTGATCAGAAGATTAAGTGCACAGCACTGAAAACATGAGGGTGCCTGAGAAAGCACACAGGAGGACACAGGACTCCTGCTATTCTACACACAGGCAACCATATAAGGGTTAAAAAGCCTTAAAAACCACAAACTCTACATAAAGCAACAGGCGCGAGCACTGAGGAATGAGGTGCTTCCCCAAGCTCTACTAAAGATTTATAATGGACAGTCTGAGAACAGGGGATTTCTGAGGCTATACGTCTTAAAATAGCTCTTTATAAGACACAAATGCTCATCTGTGATTCTTTCTGTCAACAGCATTTTCTTTTCAGTTCCATGGAAGTTATTTCAGAGGACATACTTCATCTCGCTCAAGAGATGCTCTTAATGTGCCCCAGAAACTGCACTTCTAGTATCAGTAGTATTTGTTATCCAGATGCCTAGTTCCTCAGCTTCTAAATAGTTCAGATAGTAGTATGTGACCTAGATTCACAAAGCACCATCAGTGGAGCCTCAGTCAAGAAGCTTATTCTTGAAGCTTTACTCACTTTCTAACACAAACAAGAAATGTTTAAATTCAATTAAAAAGAGAGAATTCTGAAAGACCTGTGTGGCGCTATTTAGCTATTCTGTTATCTCTGATGAGACAAATTTGATAAATTCAAGTGCAAAGTGATCCACACTAGTAAGAACACACACTGTACACATCCCTCAGATGCTTCTAAACAGCAGGATGTTACAGATGAGAGTGTCTGGAGTATTTAAATACATTCTTCGATGTCCTTATCAAAACAACGTGGGGAAGCAAACAGAATACTTACCAATATAGGAAACAGTGGGGAATGTATATCCAGAAAAGTTCTGCTTAAGAATTACAATGCACTAGTAAAACCTCTCAGAATATTTTGTTCAGCTTTGGTTACTTTACCACAAAAGGGAGAGAGTTTAAAGACGGACAGCAATACTGATTTCTGGTCTCAGAGGATATTCGTATACAGACAGGTTACAGGGGCTAAATCTCTTCAGATTGAGAGGAGATTTGACTCAAGGTCATTTAATCCTAAAAGGCACACATAGGGTCAACACAGGGGATTATTTTTTAGGACTAACCCTATCTATCGTAAAATGGGGTTACAAACAGAAACTAAATGGAATTCATTTAGAATAAATAATAAGAAATGCTTCTTTATAAAATTATTAGTTGTTTTTGTCTGTAATGGTTTTCCAAGCCAGGTTGTTGAGACACATACCAGCCTTAAGAAAAGGATGCCTGAAATTTCAGATTAATTTAGCTACTTAACTCACAAATGAATTACATGGGCATAGTTTTCTATTTGAGGTAAATCTTTTCAGCCTTCTGAAACAATTTCCATTCTTAAAAGTTTTAATGGGGTTCGTAATTGGTATGGTCCTTGTGCCAATCCATGAGTTTCAGATGACACTCATTCAGGTGTGATGGCAGAAATGTAACCATTCAGACCTAAGAAGAAGGAAAAGGCACACATTCATTGCAGGAGTGATACCGTACGTTGCAATTCCCTGTATCTTGCCATTACCAACTGATTGCCTACTGTTAGCTTTTCAGTAAGAAACCAGTTGAGGAGAGTCTGGGCACCATTCTGTGTGATGAATTTATTGGAGGTAAGTTAAGGGAAAATACATAAGTGATTTTATCATGCAAATACTGTGAAATTAAAATGAATAGAAAGATAAGGATTATTTCAGCCTTTAGCCTGCTGACTCCTTCAGCAGAAAAAAAAGACATATCTCTGCCCCAATTGGGTAAAAGGTAAGTTCTGAAGTCTGCTGCAACAAATTTACACTAAAAGTGGTTATAAAAAATGGGTATGTTGCACTCTTTTATCGCTTTACTAACAAATTTATTAATTCAGCTTTATAGCATCAAGCATGCTTTGTCAAGGGCAGAGAGTTGCATGCTGGTTTCAAAAACTCTAAATATAACAGGGGAAACACTGTGGTTGTTGAAGTGGTCTAAAACGACTCGAGTTTTTATGTTGACATTCTTTTCATCTTCCAGACAATGTGGGGAAGCAATAAAAAAAGACAAAAGACATTAAGTATGACTTTTAGTATATAGTTAAAAGCAGAGTGTTTAAAATTTAACAATGTACCAGTACAACCTCATTAGCGCACTGTGTATTTTTGTCAATATGTTACAAAAAAGATTATGCAGCTCCAAAGGAAGCATAAGGTAGTGTACTACACTGAAAGCTTGAAAAAAAAACTTTTAGCCTTGAACAGAGAAGACTGTGAGGGGATGTGATACAAATGTTCAAAATCCTCAAAGACACTGACAAAATCAAGTACAGTAAAACATGAACCAGAGGACATAAGTGGAAACTAAGGGGAAGTGCATTTAAATCTGAGAACAGGAGGCAGAGGTACTTCTTTACATAATGAGTGGTGGGAGTGTGGATCAAGTTAGCCAGCCATGCTATTGAAGCCAAGAAACCAATGGATTAGAATGAGCTTCCCGAAATCAATTAGCTACTATAACACCAATGCACAAGACAGGCAGAATGGCCTCACATTTGCAAACTTTCTTATGTTATTATTTATTAAAAGTGACTGAAAACATAATGTCACAGCCTGTGCACCATACATTCATTCAATCAACTCAGGTAAATAAGAGCTATTATGCACACCGCCCCCCTACTTAATATATTCTGCTAAGAATATGTTAATAAAGGAGAACAAGACTACATTGGGAGCATTTTTTGTCTCAACTGCTTGTTTGTCTCTTGGGGAAATTAAAAGAGCTTGAATACAATGGAAAAAAGTAATGAACACACACCAGGAAAAAAAATTCTCCAAAGAAGGATGGCCTCATGAGGCAACTAACAAAAGATGTTGCCTTTTCTCTGCAGCTTTGTTTACCAGCCGAGTTTGAATTATGAATGCAGGATATCCAGCAGAGCAGCTGACTGTGGAGTCTGGGAGAGTTGAAACAGGTGGGCATCTGCCCTGACAGGAGAGTAGACGCCCTCTGCTGAGCTGCAGGACTCATTTCGTCACGGAAGAAATGCAACATTGCTCACGCAACGCAAATCCTCCAACTGCGGCCCCAGCTGGTAATGGTTTGCTCAGTTTAGATTAAAACCAAGCCAAACAAACAAAAAGAACACAGAGCCGGATCAGACACAAAGAGCACCGATTCCAATAAACAACTTTTTTGAAAGCCACAGGACAGGATTCAAATAGGATAATCTGCCTGGTCGGCACATTCCTGGATTTGAGCTCTGTTCTCCCAGTACGTCCCTTTCCCTGATCACGAGGCACAGAAACACAAGCCACTCAGCTGCGCTGCTGTCTGCGTTGGCATGTCTGCGCTGTGTGTGCACGGGCCCGTTTTCCTGCTGTGATGACGAGCGGCGGACAGAACTCACGGGTAATTCTGAGGGCTCGGGCAGGAACTCGGCATCCTCCCCAAAAATGAAGTCCGGGGGCAGCTCCGGGTCCCGGGCGTTGAAGATGATGTCCCCTGCAAAACCGAGTGACAGAAAAACACCAATGACACCCTGCCAGGAGAGGCATGTGGCAGCAACGCAAGGCCCAACACACAGCAGCACACAGAGTGGCGTACAGAGACCTGCAAATGAAGATGGGAAAAACAAATGAGACCTTAAAAAAACTTAAGTCAACTGCTAAAATATTTAAATATTTTTAAGATTATTATGATGAAATGATTCCATGAAATTTATAATGATTTGCTTTAAAAACTTGCAATGGCTAAAATGACATTTCTTTTGAACAAAATAAATACTTTCATCTGTGAATGTCCATTCATCCAGCTATCTATTCATCTGCTGATCCATCCATCTATTTTCTAACCCCTTTATCCAATACAGGACCATGGGGGAGCTGGAGTCTGTCCCAGGCAGCAACAAACACAAAGCAGGACACACCCTGGTTTATCTCAGGGCAAACACACTCAGAAATGAGCCCGTTTTCCTAGAAGCCAATTAACCAAGCAGTATGCCTTTGGCCTGTGGGAGAATTGAACCCAGCGCTATGAGGCAGCAACGCTAACCACTGCACTACTGTATTCCCACCTGTGAACAGCTTGTTAATAATACAGGACTTTCCCAGTATTCTATTGTAAGTCCTTAAAAGCATTGATAAAGTCAATTCAGGGAACTGCTTTGGTTTAAAAAGTGAAACTCTAGCCAGAGGTCAGAAATGGACACACCCTGTACAGAAGAGAAACTGAGAAGAGGCACGTCTTCACACAAAGGATTGTGGGAGTCTGGAACACATGGCCCTGTACCCTTACTTCAACCAAAAACAGCTGGATAAGATACCTGGGTCAATTACCAAATGGGTTAAATGGCCTCCTCTCATTTGTTACATTTCTTGTGTGACCTGTCCCCAGGGGTCAGACTAACACAATGCACATCACATCATAATAATGTCTTTACAGAAAGAAACTGACCGGGATGCAGGGGGATCCTCTGCCTGCTGACAATAAATTGTCGGCCACACCATTCTGAAGCTGAATTAATTTGAGATCATCTCACTGTCAAAGCATTGTTTGATTTCATCTTTACCACCTCAGGAAAAAAACAAAACAGAAATTGCCCCATAATTCCATAATAATTGTGTAATTCTACCCATCCAGCCTCAGAAGACACTTCAACCTCTACCCAACAAAAAAAGAAACCCAGATGCTGGAAGAAATGTTAGCTTCGGCCATTGTGGCTCAGACAGGTAGTGCACAGCACTGCCCCTCTCATCAGCATCTGCTAGAGCCACAAGCCATTGACGAGGTCTTCACACTCTTTCTGCCAAAAACAAACATGTCTCCTGGGTGAATGCAAGTACAGTAATAGCTCTCAAAGAACCTCCCCGTACAGGGAAAACTTATCTTAGTCTTTTTCATATCACAAGACCAGCTCTCAACCCACTGCAAAAACTTTAAAAAAAAATATTACTACAGTCTTTTATTTCCAAATTAATAAAAATGTTGATTGATAGTCACAATCTCTTAAATTACCAAACAAAAAACAGTCAGCAAACTGTGGAGTTTTCTTGCCAAAAGTAGCCTCAAAATGTATGATATTTTTGTGATAGTTTTTAACATTCCACTAACAAATCAGTTTTTGATCAGAACTTTCAACAACAAGTAGTTAAGGTGAAGTATGCATTAAAAATTGTGTTTAATGCTTTTTTATTCTTGTAAACTTTTAACCTACAAAGCCTTGAAATGCTAACCTTGAAAGAAGCTTTCTAAACTAAAGGATTGATTGATCTTCAAAGCCCAAGAAGAAGGTGACAGTATTCAAGGCAGAATCTGCAGGGCTCATTGTATAGAAAATGTCACTGTGACCCCCCTATAGATCTGACATAAACAGCTAAGGATCAGGCCATCCAGTAAACAGTGGAAACTAATAATAAATAAAAATAATCTTGACAGATTACGTCAATGAAATAGGGGGTCATAATGACATATCGATTCAACAAATATAAATGAGGCAACAATGAGAAGACAGACCAATCATTAACAGCTGCTACTGGGTGACCATGTGTGACTGACATTGCAGGCTCAAGCTCTGGATGTGACTTGGGTGACTCCAGGAACCAACCAATAAAATAATTCAATCGTGCATCTTATTGATTCAAAATCAAAATGGCACAGAAGGTATTTTTAATTGTTTTTGCTGAAAACAGAACCCTGGAAAACCTCTGCAAGCAACAAGTAACTAATTACAGTGTTGAATAAGCTAAAAGTCACATAAAATGCCAAGTTGTAGTTAAAGGAAAACTGGGTAAAAACATTCTTTGAGCAAAGCTCAGAACACAAAAACTTAAAACTGGCTTTACCGTTTTATATACTTTTTTACTCACCACGTGCAGACCCACAGACCCATACGGTATAAAACAGTTAAATAAAAGTCTTCCATATTTCACTTGCTGGGAAAATTAACTGAGCTCCGACACCAAATATTATAAACAATGTGGGTGGTTTTGAATGTAAAATCCTGACAAAAAAGAAACAAATAGTCCTTCAAATCTAAAATGACAGCCATTTTATCCTATATTAACAGCAAGTCTCATCAATGTTCATAAAACCTGTGAGGTTTCAGTCAGTTGAGAGGGGGTTAAACTGTAGGAGCTTACAGACTTAACAATGGCTGAACCTCTACAACATTGAGCTGGTCTTCTATACTCACTGTGCTATCTCATCACTATACTTAAGCATCTTTCACACAGGTCCCCACCTATTTGCACCTTCCACTCGAGGAAAGACGAACTGCACTAGTCTACTTTTTCAAGTTCAGCATCTCTGCTGCAGTTGGATTTTTATGTGCTGAGCTATACCTGTGTGGTTTAGGCATACCTGCTGAGCACTGAATGGACCCTCTACCCATATAAATACAACCCCACGGAAAGGCATGAGATCTGTGACCTCTCTCTCACAAGTCCAACAAGAAATCAGCCTCCCTGTGTTTCTGGCATAGAGGAACAAGCCATGTGAATTCTGCTGGTGGAAATCTCAGGCAGATTAATGTCTTAAGCGTTACACAGCCAATTCCAAACTATGTTAACACAGAGCCAGATTATGCTGGCGTGTTCTGCAGCCACTTCTCCAGTGCCTTCTTTCTTTATGTTGTTTTCATTTTAGGTTTTAGTTTTCCAGTTTCCATCTTTGAACGGTGTATCTTTGAAATGCCTCCATATTTGACATCATGGGTTTTGAATTCAATTCCCACCATTGTTCCTGACAGCTGATTCCTCACTTTGCTCCCAGTGGGTGTGACTGTGTGCTGGCTGGACTCTCCCTTTGCTCCCAGTGAGTGTGTCTGTGTGCTGGCTGGACTCTCCCTTTGCTCCCATTGAGTGTGCCTGTGTGCTGACTGGACTCTCACTTTGCTCCCAGTGAGTGTGTCTGTGTGCTGGCTGGACTCTCCCTTTGCTCCCAGTGAGTGTGTCTGTGTGCTTGCTGGACTCTCACTTTGTTACTTGTGACATGCACCTGTGGACCTGAACATTTCATTTGCTACTCCATGCAATCTCCCTCATTCACACTGGATAAACTAGCCTTGTTAAATACATGCTCCTGTAATAAAAAGTCAGAACTATTTATGATGAGTTTCAGAAAAAGGACTTTCTCTGTTCAAGAGGAATCTGGCAAAAATCAAATGACATACTTCTGTTTAATTAAATTATACAACCTACATATGGGTTATTTAAAGAATGTTGTTCCACTGGTCATGGGCTGTGCTGCACAGCCTCGTTTCTCTCTGAGAACCTTTACTATTCCTGGGTATTTATCACTTGAGCGCTAGACTATTGCATACTATTGCATCCTGTGGCTGTTATCATAATCTTTAGGCAAACTAATCTCGCTGCATTTTATACAAATTTGTTGTCATATTACACTTGATATGTTTTAAACGTAATAAGAAATTAGTACTAGGCAATTTTAATTTCCACATCTTACACAGTTTGACTGCGATTCAAGTAATGGTCACATCTTGGATTTACTACTTGCTGATCACATGACTGCTCTTCTGCATGTCTCTCATTTTATGCTTCTCCTGCAAACTTTCACAACTGCTGATGAGGTGACCAGTTTGCTGATTTCACTCTTTCTTCCCTTCCTTTCTTGTCAGTTTCTTAGGATCACAAGATACAGCTGCTCAACAGGCCCCCCAAGTCCTGCGCTTGATACCTTAGCTCCTGTTAAAATTCGGTCAGTTTCCTGCACATGCGGTGCTCAAAGGTGCACTGAGCAGCTGTGCTCAGGAAGTAAACTGGACTACAGGAGGGGAGTTTCTTCTTTCTGGTTTGGGTGCACGTCTACTGTAATGGAAGGAGTACTGTCTGACCACAGGGATGCTATGGCCAGTGAAAGATGCAGCAACTCAACCATGATTCAGCTTCTGAAGCCTAAAGCTCGACTACCCTGTCACATAACCAGTCTCAACCAGCGTACCCTTCTTACACCTCCTCTTCTCTCTTCATATGCCTGCTTTTCCTGGTTCTACTCTCCCTAACATCTAGTTCTCTCATGCAGGCTTTGTTGTTTGCTCTTGTTTACGTTTAACTGTGCCAATTTAGGAATCCAAGTGTTTACTATTGCCTATTATCAATTTTAGTAGTGACTTTAGTAGAGGCGGCTTCAAACACCACATCTGTTACAGGCGGGACCTGGGCTGAAAGCATTCCCATAAAACCCGCAGAGAAGTGCTGTTACAATGATTCCAGGAACAGCAGACGATCAGAGCCCACAGTGTGGGTTTGGAAGAACCTTCACCTAATCAAACAGGAGTCTATGTATCCAACGAAGGTTAGATCCAAGACCGTTGTTTTAACAACAGGGATAATGCTTTGAGGAATCTGCCATCCACCTGATCCATAAATCAACACGGTTACAGAAAGAGTGTTAATCAGTTTGAATTAGCGTGAACAGCCCCCAGCATGGTTTTAAGTGAATCACATTAGCATTCAGGGAAAATGTTTCAAACTGATTTCATGTAAGTAAATTTGCCCCATTTACTTATCATTGTCACCCCAAATGTCGGTTTACGTCAGAAATTTGTTTTCTGTGGACTTGCCGTCATCATGCAGGAAACAGATTCCCTAAGGCAGAGAGGAGCACCGACGCTGTTTTCACCGGCACACATTCAGATCGCGGCTTGCACGCCACACAGGTCTTGTTATCCTCATGCTGGACTTGCTGCAGAAGCACCGAGGCCACACTTACACTTGAGAGTCTCTCCTGCGTAGGGGATGTGCAGCTTGAACCGATCGCAACAGGGGCCTGGTGTCAGGGAGGTGCATCTGAGGGGGGAAGAGAGAAACACCCGCTGTCTCAGCACCATCAACACAGCACCTTTCCTCCACTCCCCAGGGACGCTTCGAAGTGCAACACAAAACAAATACACACATTGCCCTTGAGGCGGACAACGCCCTCAATGCACTTTACCAAAGGAAAAAAAAGACAACTCATATGAAATAAGCCTTGGGCTGAGATTTCTTTTTTAAAAAAGAAAACAGATACAGGTTCTCCGATGTAACAGGTGTGGGAGCCTGAGAACCGAAACGACCTGATGTCAAGAGCCCGAATCCTTCCCTGAGGAGGTCTCAATTCAATCTTCAGTTCCAGTGGTTTCTTTTAAAAACTAACATTGCTAGGTCACCAATGCTCAGGACTGGGACCCCGTGAAGAGTGAAATTAGACAGTTCAACAGTGGATATTAAGCACCATTGAAGGAGCAGTGGACAGACGAAGCCACCAGGAGAGAAGTGGATGTAGTGGAACTGTTTTTCCAAGACAACATAATAATTGATGATGACCATTGCCATCTGGCCTGGTTGTTAGTTAGGCGCTCAGCGATCTAAGGATCTCATCCAGCTCTTTGCTCTTTACTGAAAAAAAGCTTCAACAACATGGCTGGGTTGCACACGCCTAGAATCCCTCATGGTAAGAAGTGCCTCCTGCCCCGATTGAAGCATCCAGGGATCAACTTCAACAACAGGGCTGCGTAGGTTGTTCAACACTCCCACCACCCTTTGTGTAAAGAATTGCCTGCTGTTATCAGTTTGATGACATGAACCACAAGATGTAACCAAAATGGCTTGGGAGCGACAGCTGTGAATTTATCAAAGGGCTGAAAGTTGCACAGTAAGACTCAACTCACTCATCCTGCTGCTGGACATGAAGGTAACATTCTCTTTATATTTGTTTGGCGAGGTGATATCTGTCCAGGGGTTCTGCCCCACCAGTATCACTGTCTGAGAATGAAGGGCTATACAGTTAACTATTATCTAGAACTAGGCAGTTCTCACTCCTGCTGTTGGACTGGAAAGCAGTATCCAGGCTGTTACCACTGTTAAGAGACTTAGAAGCAACAAACAACATACTAAATATATATCTTACTTAAAGATACATAAACAAGCTACTTAAAATATTCCCAGAAGAATTCATTTAGTTAAATAGGGGCTGTGATGACATCTTGATTCAACAAAAAAAAGAAACCAGACGAGACCAGTCTTTAACATCTGGAGCTCCTGCTGAGCCCTGTAAACTCAGGCAGGTAACAAAGAAAGGACAGTAATTCTGAATGAGCAAGCAGCTAATTTAACCCCCTGAGCTATTCACAAGTGGCCCTCAAGTACTGTAAATCTACAGTAGTTTGCTTTCTGGTGAAAGATGTTCACCAAAACTGTTGATAAAGAGCATACGAATATGAGTAGACTTTTTCCCTACATATGATTCAAAAGATTTGTCTCAGGATATTGCATATATTTTGTTTATACCATCTTTAATCAACTACTAGATCACAGTGTTTCTCATCCAGAAACCTGTGGTTGTATAAGCAGCCCATTGTATCTCACCCGGAAGACTCTACGCAAACCCGGCGATTAAGAACTAATGACTAGAATCTCTGGCCTGCTGCTGTGACTCTATCAGACTCTTGCAGAGAATTCTGTGGTATAATATTGTGCGTCAGCAGCATAGATAAAGGCACAGGTCAAAATGGGTCAAAAAAAGACCTGAACGAGAAATGAAAAACAAAATGGCTCTTAAAGCACTGCAGCGTTTAAGAGGATCATGGGGGAGCCAGAGCCTAACCCAGCAAGCAACAGGCCAGAACTGAATCCAGGGACCCAGAGCTGCGAGACAGCAATGCTAACCACTGTTTCACCATGTCAAAAACCAACAGCGCTACAGCAGTACTATAATGGTGAACTAGAGGATATTTATAAATCGGGCTGAAAGTATTTGCTGATGTGAGAGATCAGGCTATGGACTATTACTTTACTTGTGTCGTCTGGTTTGTGTTTCACTGCTAATTCTGTAGATGTCCACTGGGCTGGCTTTATCAATGCATTTGAGGATGTTGAATACACTTGTATTGGGTCCTCTTGCAGTCTTTGGTGAAGACTGAACAGCTTTTGTTCCTCCATTGTGTCAGTGGAGGACAGGCCCTTCGGCCCCGGAATGTATCTGGTTGCTCATCTCTGGACTGACTCCAGAGCAGCAATATGTTCAAAGTCTGGATTCAGCACCGTGTGTCCTAGGAGTGCAGATCTTTCCATTCTGGCTGGGGCTTACGCTGAAGTAGTAGAAATATATATTCGGCCTGGGGCACCTTCTGTTTGGACTTTGCAAGATCTCCCCATGTGCATTGGGGTTTTCTCCGATGTTTCCAGTTCCCTTCCAGAGATCAGTGACATGTCCATGTTAACATGCTGGATTTGGGCTTTCAAAGACCACCAGACCACCTCTGCTCTAAGTATAAAGCAGTGTCTGAAAATGGATGAGTGGAAGAATGACAAACAAACCCTCTTTGAGTTGAAGCATGTCTGTCTTAAAGGGAATGACTTGGGGGGGGTAGCTGGGAATGTCTGAGGAAGTAACGGAACTCACCCTGTCTTGAGATCAGTGATGCGAAGGCAGCTCGTGGAGTCCAGACCCACACGGCCGTTCCGGACCACGCTGGACAGCAGGGGCCGCAGCTCTGGCGAAATGCGGTTCAGCGCCACCTCTGGGGACAAGCTGTTCATTTTCCTCTGGGCTAGCTGGACAAGCAGACAACCAGAGGCAAAGAGAAATGTGAACACAGGAACCGGCAGATGCAGTGACATTACAGCATGCAGTTTTTAAACTTTCGAGAATACAGACTACAAAGATTCAACCCTTCGAGCTTGAGTAAGACAGGAGAAAACTCTACTTGGAAACTGTGCAAGGAGAACATGAACGCAGCCCCAAGAATCACCACAATATTCAAAGAGCTGCAATCACAGTCCACATAACACATCACTCACAGAGACCTGCGCATGTTGGATAAACAGATTCAAAGGTCTTTTAAGCACTGAAGAACTCGGAACTGCATCTGAGTTAGAAAACAACACTGAAGACGTTTCCCATTTCCAGGGCAACTGCTATGAGAGCCAGACATTTAAGTGGTTAAAGCAACTAAAATTTACACCACAGATAGAATACTGTGAAGTCTTCAACAAGGATAAAACAGTGAAGGTTAGTGATCATCTTACAAACATGCTTTAGAGAATAGTATTGAATGCTGGAGGCATTTAACATTTTAAGTGTACTATATTTTCAATCATTTCCAATACCAACGACTGAGCTGAAATACACGATTCTACCGCGTTTTGCATTTAAACAGTCTCAACTGCGGAGATGTATGTAATGGGAGCTCTGAGATAACATCGTTCATGGATCCACGGTTAACATTGAATCAGACTTCTGTTAGAAAAGAACCACTCACTAATAATTGTAGTACCCGAGAAGTGTTTTTTATTTAATACGTTTACGCTGGCCTAAGGCGTTTCGCTTAAGGTTTATCAGGAGCAGTACTGTTGCCAAGCGTATTTATTTTAGCGCTGAACTGTGGAATGTCAGATATACCACCCCTTAATTTGGGAAAATATTTCGTGGAGTAGCGTATACAGACAAAAATATTAGACAAGTATCTGTAGTATCCTCCCAAAATGTACTAATGCTACTAATTCTTATGTTTTATTTTATATTAATGAAGCTTAGGTTCAGCTCCTGGAGTGATGTAGTTGAACAGTCATTTACACTGACCTCATCTGTTTGGTTTCTTTTGTGACAATTCACAAGTTTGTACTGGGTGGGGGGGCAGGACTGAATGTCATCTAGTAAACTCGGGACCGCAATACTTTATCTTCAGACTCTATGCTCTTGACTTAAGTTGCAGCTCCTCGATTTTTATCGGGGCTTCAATGTTTTTGTACAACTCGAATGTAATAAATGCAGGGATAATAAAAAACCCCATAAATAATCCGTTCAGTGACTCCTCCCGCACATGGAGAAATAAAACTACACGACATACAATAGGAGACGATTGTCAATACCTGTTATTTTCACGGGGTATCCAATTAAGTCTAAGTACTTTCAAACTAAAAAACCCATTCCACTACAAACACTTCATACTCTTCCGGTACATATTTTCGGGTCTTCGAATATTTTATAGCATCGGGGTTGTCCTTGGCAGCGCCTGATTGAAAATAGTAAAACTTAATTATTCGTGTATATCTTCATTTATTTTGAAATATAATGTATTGCATAATTTATTTTATTTTATTTTTTCCTATAATATGTTGACGTGTATTTATATAAGCAGGAAAAGAGTTCAATATTACTACGGCACATAGCGAGGTGCCAGAAAGAAGCTCTTAAATGTAAGTACTCTGTTGGTCAACCGGTAGTCGGTTTACGACCTTACTTTGCAACAGGGGTGCAGAGTCGGGTACTTCCCCCCCAAATAAAAAAAAAACGTATTGATTAGTTAACCTTTTTTAGATATTCATAAACACAACAATGTGTTTTGTAATTTTATTCTGATGTAATAACACGAAAATCGTAAATCACGAGACGCTTTTGAAACTGAAGACCCTCTGGCTACCTGTTTCTAAAAGGTAACATGCTTCTAACGCAGTCAATGAAACCAGTGTACAGACTCACGATTCCAAAAACTGATCTGTATCGTACATTGCAGTGCAATTCACTTAAACTGTGCAAAGCAAGCAACAGCTCAAGTGCTGTTCTCTCCATCGCTATTTTGCCTCAATTCTCCAGATAAACAAATTTCAAGCTAAAAGTGACCTTACATGGTTTCTGTGGTAGGATTCCCATTGTTAAGTAAGGAATGACTATCGTAGAGGTGGATTTGGGTGTTACATAAACTATGCTAGTGTATTACCTCTTCTGACAAACTGATATCACCCGATCCGAATCGCGACCCCCTCCCTGCTCTCGGTGAGGTGGGGGATTGGGGACTGTGAACACACCTTGACCTCCCTTTGGTAATTGAGTCTTTTAAATAGCAAATGCTAACATTAACAATCCATAAGCACTGCAGTTTATATTATGTAGGGGTTGATTAAACACAGAGATTGCAATTGTCTTCAATTACTTCTCATGATTCACCTAATGTATTAAACGTATGTAACAACGTCTCAGGTTTAGTTACTAAGAAAAGTTCATAATTTAAGTACTTGACTGTTCAATGTTGAAAGTGAAAAGAAGAATTTTAAATCAGTGACATACCCACTTATTTTCAGAATTAAAAAGCTAGAGGTTCATGTACTCAATGAATTTTAAAGTGTTTTTACAGCATTTGTTTTAAACTTGACAATGCATGCCCAAGGGAATATTTTAACAAGTACACACTTTATTGTTATTTTCACAAGCCCTTCAATTTGAAGGTGCTTTCGTCTTTGTCAAATCTCTTTATTAAAAAAAAAATAAAAATTATCTTTAATCCAATACATACCATCTCTAAATCTTTTCAAATAATTGCTAACCATGATTTAGTTTAGTTTTTTTCAAAATATTCATTTCTATCTCATCCTTGATTCCACCCTGATACAAGTTTTTAAGATCCTCAAAGGCACTGACAAAGTCAGCCTAGAGAACTTCTTAAGCAAAGAAATAGAGGCCAAAGAATCAGAGGACACAAATGGAAACTACATGAACTGAGAACAATAAGCTCTTCTTTGCAAGAAGGGCTGTGGGAGTATGGAACAAAGTACCCGGCTATGTGGTTGAGGGTGATACCCTGGCTTCGTTCAAGTACGGCTGGATGAGATTCTTTGATCAATTAACTACTAATTGCCAACCAGACTGCATGGGCCAGACGATTTCCTCTCGTTTGTAGCTGTTCTTGTAAATTGTCAGTCCTCACTAGTGATGTGCTAAACTGTTCATTTTTTAAAAATGTGTAAAAGATAGAAACGTATGACCAGCAAAGTGCTGTGTGGAATAGGAAAGGAGTCCTCATGACATGTTTATAAATAAAACACAAAAAAGGATGATCTCTGGGCCTTTTTCCTTTGGGAGTCATATGTTGTGTTTCCTGGTTTTGCAGCAGAGGCTGTTTGAGGAGGGCATGGCTGAGGAAAGAGCAACGGGAGAAGGCTATGATGTGGTAGTAGTGGGTTCCTGTATGACTGACCTGGTCAGGTGAGTGTGTCTTCTGCCATAGCTGTCAGGCCTTGTTCACCATACTGAAAACAGAACCACTTCTTTACACAAAACCTTCCAGGAGTATGGAACAAGCTGACTGACCATGTTGTTGAAGCTGATACCCTGAATCCTTTCAAGGAAGGGTTGCCTAAGATCATCAGTTCGATCAGCAACTGCAAAACAATCAGAAAGCAAAACAAAAGCTTACTCTGTCGAATGACCTCCTCCTCTTTGCAGCCCTTCTTATGAAATGAGAGACAGCAGACGCCCAGTCCAGAGTGCTGCTGTTTCCATTGCACTGTGTATTAATGTTGTTCTGGACTATTAAAACATGATACACCAACTGGATTTCAAACAGAAGCTCACTTTCTTTGTCAACACCTTTTCTGAAATCCCCAAAAAGTAGCAAGCTGGGAGGTGCTGTGGCACAACGGCTAGCGTTGTTGCTTTGCAGTGCAGTGTTTTCCCCATATTCCTGTGGGTTTCTTCTGGGTGCTCTGGTTTTCTCCCACAGTCCAAAAAATCACAGGTAGGTTAAATTACTTCTGGGAAAACTGGCCCTGGTGTGAGTGTGTGTGTCCTGTGATGGACTGGTGTCCCGTCCAGGGTGTATCCCGACTTGACCTGTTGTAGGTTCTACCCTGTATTGAATAAAGCTGTTAGAAAATGGATGAATGGCGGTAGAAAGTTAATTCCATTTCTCTACATTTTGGCTTCAGAAAGCATCTTTAAATCCTGATTAGGATTAGAGTGTAGTGTACCAGAGTTGCATGGAGTGACATCTTGCAAGCAGCCATGTTGTCTGGCCTTGGCACCACTTTTACAAACCTGGGGGTTTCACATGAAGAAAGCTGTCTTCCCCAAGCAACCCCACTGTCTCAAAGGAGGGGCTGCAGTCCTGCATCATGTGATTTTGATTAACAATACACTCGTACAGTATGTGCAGGTCGGGACACTTTCTTATGATGCTTTTCCAACAGTATGTGTTGTTTAAATTTTGTCCGGACAGCTCAGTCCATATGGCTTGTGGAGTCCTCTCCATGTCTGCCGTCTCTGTAAACAGGCTGTAAACTGTTCTGCGACAAGTGTGCGTTGATAAGCTGGCTCCCAGCTGTGCCTGCAGCTCCGGCGTGTGACTGTAACCCATGCTGTGTGAGTACAGGACTGACCCATGGCAGAGTGCCCCCAAAATGCAGAGTCAGCACTTGGCAAGTCAAGCTTCTCAGTTCAACAATGTGAGCCTGGTGCCACTCCATTTTATCTTGCTGCCATACTTAAAGGAGTGACTAGATAGGTTGACAGATGGATACTTTTTTTTTAGAAGGCTGTTCAGCATGTAAACAGTCACAGGATTTTTTGCCTTTTTTACAGCAGTGACCAATACGCATGTGTCTGTGCGACAGAGCTGCATGTTATAAATATCATTCACAGTCATCGCAGCTTAAAATAAAAGCTGGAAAAATGTGGTCTAATTTTTCGGTTCTTTCCAAAAGGCCTTACTGAAGTGGATGTGATGTTCATGGGCACAGCGCTGACGCTCAGGAGCGGTTGCCGGGTGTTTCTGTTGTTCTGAGGTAGAGGGTTATTAACAACATACCTCCTCGCTCAGATTCGCATCACAGAGACGGACTGTCACTTTTGCTCATCTTCATCTCAGCAGTGATAATGTCACTGTCCCAGTGGGTTTCCTAGTGAGAAATAACAGGTTATGTTTTATTTGTAAACGTGACATAAAAATATTCAGGTGCATGTACAGTACACTGCTGTGCAGAACACTGAGACATTTGTTCTGCTCTTTTCTTTCGGTATTTGTCCTTCTCTATGGAGAACTTCTGTAGTGATCTCTTGGAATTTTAGCCTTTTGTTTGGAGCTATCAATTGGATCTGTGTTTTGCAGTACAAAAAGCAGCATTTTACAAATGATAATGATAATGAAAAACACCTAATCCTGAAAAACCTAATAATGATGATGATAATGAAAAACATGTGACAGTAAGTCAATTAGATTTGGTTGGGCCATGATATGTTACCATCTGTAACTGCAGCACTTTGTGATGGATGGTCCTGTATCATCTATTGTAAACACGTTTCTGAAAATTCAAATCAATGTGAATGAAAGTGGTTGAGTAATAAGCAAATCAATCTGCATTAATACAATTGGACTTCTAATAAAATAAAACACCAGTGGAGGCTCGGAGTAAATTGCTGATTATCATCATATACAACGTACATATTTACAGAGTCTTGCAAAAGCATTCAGGACACTTCCTATAGTGTCCCATTTTGTAAATTTACAAAGTGATGCATATACAGTTTTTAAACTTAGTATTTTACTTGAAATCTGAATGCTGAAACTGAAGATGTCTAAGGGTAAGATAAGGTATACCATAGTAAATGTTCCCTAAAAACCTAAAGAGACAAAAACTTAAATATTATGGCAATATGTTTGCAAAGCGCTGTATTGTCACTCTGCTATGTGTCTAAAATGTGCATGATCTTTGAGCAAGACTGTTTATGTAATTTGTGAAGATTTGTTTTATATCTGTTGCAATCTGTGCATTTTTGAGGAAAGTGCACTACCTACTTCGTACTTCTCTTGAATGGAAAATTGCTGTTAAGAAACCTTCCAATTGAAGTCTAACTCTTGCCGTAACCATAAGGTTCTTCCAAACATTGCTCTCATTTTTAAACTCATGCAATGTATTCATTTATGTCCAGGCTATATTTAACTGTTCTACTTTTACCTTGGTTAACCTCAAATGAAAGTGAGGTCTTTTACCAGAGGCTGCTTCCAGCCTGTGTTTGAGAAGACTGCCTATAAAATATATACTTGCATGTAGTAGAAAAATGCAGCAATTCTGTGAAGGATCTATGTTTATCCATTCCAAATATCACAAAAGAAGCCTGTACAGCTGCTGCTGCTGTTATTCAAGCACTGTTCCTGGAAGGACTTTGGAAATGTTTTCAAGGCCTGTTTGTTTTGGTTCACGCACAAGTCTGTCACCCACTCTGACTGTGACCCTTCGCCTTGGCCGCAGTGGGCACACAGACCTTGTGTAATAGCTTTCCTTTTGGTTTTGAGTGAAAGGAGACAGCAGTTCTGACCTTGAGCTCCATGTTCACACCACCAGCAGTGTTGCGCCTTCCAATGAACTGACTACTGAATTGATTCTCGATTGCTTCATTAACACGGGTGCTGAACCTCCCCGGTAATTCAGGATGAACAGGACCAAAGACTTGCAGTGGAAAGGAGGTGTCAACATTGACTCCCTGCGATGTTGAAGGCCATCAGGTTTTCATAAGCCAGAGTCCCCTCCAGTTCAAAGGGGCGTCTGCTGAATGAGCTGAGGTTTTGCATTTGGGTTTGATACAGCTAGCTACAGTACTTGATTTTCTCTGGAAAACCTGTGATGAAGGATCTTGGATCTGGTGCAATTCACGTTTAATTCTTACAAATGGCACAACTCGATCGTTAACATTAGCCCCCGGCAATAATATTGCATGCTCTCCCTTTGTGAAAGTATGGAAACACTGTACAATGAGTGTGGACATTAGCAGTCATCTCCCAGCATTGCATGGTTTACAATGTTTTACTCGTCTATGTTCAGATTGTCACACTGTCACTGAAAGATCTCCTCTCATTTCATTGGCGATCAGATGTACTCACAAACAATTTGCATAAGTGCTCACAAAAAATTCCAGTGCATCTAATTACTATTACTGAAAGGACCCATATTTCACATTCTATTCATCAGGTTTGATTCATTGGCTTCCAGAATCTGAATTCAACATTAGTAATATGTTACTTGCATTGGGTTTGTTAACAGATATTCCCTCTGTGCTCTGGGGGAAGATTACACATAAATAACTACTAAAACAAGAGCATTTTTTTCTGGTTTAAAGCATGTTTTGTTCCTTTCAAAGTGATATGCGTGACTTTGATGTTTGCAATCCTGTTGACTCTCTTTTGCTGATATTGCTGTGGTTGGAACAGATGTGTGCTGTGCTCTTTTGCAGAGCTCAGCCACTTCATGCCAAAGCAGCACAGTGCCACCTACTGCCAGGCAAACACTCTCTCAGGCTCCATGTACACTCATGCTTTTAATTTTTTTTACAGCAACACAGGAATAAAATGTGTAAACTATTTAAAGACAGAAATTGACAATTGCAGTGAACAAATAATTATCTAAGATTGCAACTTTGGTGTCTTGCTCAAAATGTACCCTTTAAAATGAGACTTGTCCGTGTTTAACAGATAGGCTCACTCTGAAGTGGACTGTATTATATTAAATATATATAAACCTTGACCCATCCCACCATTGCCATACCCGGTGTTTACCTGAAGGCAGCTCTTCACTGGGTAGATAACAAAGCTCTCCACCATGCAAAAATCTCCCATTAAGTTGCATGTTCGGAATTAGAAACAGCTGGTGTCTTTGAAAGTTGAATTAATTCTCAGGTGTTCTGGAGGAAGACAAACAACACTCATCCGGCAGTGGAAGGACATAGTTCTGTATTAATTAATACAGAAAAATATTAATAATAAATATTAATAAATCCCCAGGGCCTGATTGTAACTTACCAATGGTACTCAGGGAAATTCATCCATCCATTTTCTAACCACTTACACCTGGTGAGGGTCATGGTACTCAATGAGAGATGTGATTCAGAAGCCATTGACACAGCTCTTCCAGCAGGCACTCGAGACAGGGCTCGTACCAGAGACTGGAGAGCTGCTAATGTAGAGCTCATCGGCAAGAAGAGTGACAACACTGACCCATGTGGTTATAGACCGATAACTCTGACCTCTGTTGCATTAGAGTCACTCAAGACAGGGCTCATACCACAGACTGGGGAGCTGCTAAGGCAGAGCTCATTCCCAAGAAGAGTGACAAAACTGAACCAAGCACTAATGAATACTACTAGTAACAGTAACTTGTTGATTTCTACTTCATTTAAGGTTATATAAACCAATATTTGAACTAAACTGGAGAGTTGCCTATATGGAAATAATATCCTGGGGAATAATCAACATGAATTTAGAAAAGGCAGGTTGAACTGTTATTATAACCATTATTGTCACCTGTGAAAAGTAGCTTCAACCCTTGCCAGAGGTGACATTCTCAGACGGCGTGAATGGATTTATTGCTTAGTCAAAATCAGGGATTCAGGCAACATCTGTTTAATGTCTTTAGAAAGCTGTGAGAACAAGCATTTATACTTTTGTGTTGCACATACTTCCCAGCGTGGCGGCTCTGTCATCCCGCAAAGAAACAATTGGTAATTGTCAAATTGAGCCGGTAACCACAAGAAACAGTGTGGATTAGTCACTGAGCCATTGACTCAGACCTGTCACTCGCATTCAAGACAATAATAAGACACAGTGTTTGAACAAAGCTAGGTGTCAGTTGTCTGGTAGTGTGGAGGTGTGGGTGCTGCTGTTTTGCCTCTCTTGAGTGACGGCAAACCGGCACAATCTTCTTCTCACATCTGTTTTTCTGGCTGACCTTACTTTACAATAAACCTTTGTTCCCTTCAGTTTTATCCAGAGTCTGATGGAAAGCTCATGAGGTTTTATTTGCTGTTTTTCTGGAGACATGCTCAGTGCTTTCAGGGATCAGGACGAGAGGGATCAGCTGAACTTTACCCACTTCATCATGCAGAGGAGAATCTGTGCAGCAAGGCCAGGAGGAGATTGCTGGAGCTGAGCTCCAGCCTCTTCTGCTGAGTACTTGCGCAAAGAAAGGGTCTAGTCTAAACAGAGTGCTATTCTGGAACTTCTGTCTTCCAGCATTCAAAAACGTTTTAACTGTAGGATGTGATACGGAGTACAAATCATGCATTGCAAACTGGTCTTGTTTTGAGCACTCAGTGAAAGTGCTGGATCACCTGCTGAACACACATTTGCATGTATCTTGATCGCAATCTGAGACAGGTTCTTCACAGCCCGTGTGACACAGACTGATGAACCCACTGAACTAACAGCCTGGGCCTCCAGCCAACTCAGACCTTTCTTTTTAGTTTTGTTTATGTATTTCTTTTCCTGTGAGTAATGGTTGAGGGTTATTTTTTATTTTCAAGATGAGAAGGAAAGCTGTTTTCACATGGCTCATCGCTCTTCCACTGTTTCACATGTGCTGCCTGAGAACTAGAAGACACGGCATCTTGTGAGGGAGGCTGTTTGTGCGTCCTGCTTGTCAGGACGGGCAATTATCTGAATTAAATCAGGCTGCAGTTACCCCTGTAACTGACACAGTAGGACTCTTATAACACAGCCCTTAGCTCCTTGGCAGCTGGGCAGGCTTGTTTCCGATCATACCTTCGTTGTTGGAAAATGCTGGGATATCACGATTCAGAGCTCTCGGGGGGCTTTATAGATCCCAGCTGTTGTGAAGTAGCAGAATGAGGCCTTTTGAAGGGGAGATTCAGCGGTAGCACGACAATGTTTTTTTTAACTAAATTACTCTTTTTATTGCCATGCATGTTGCCATTTGTCCTGGTCTTTGTTTCTTTTCATTCTTCAAGCCAGAACACAATTCACTATTCTAATTAAAAAAGAGAACTACTTTCATTTGCAAAGTGCAAAGGGTCTCAGAGCTTTTTATATGTAAGCAAGGACCCACTTCACCCAGTGCTGAAGTGCCAGCAGCCCCACTACACAACAGACAGGTGGAGAAGTGAAGCAGATTTAAGGGGGAGCTAGGGGGAGCCCAGATTCTACAGCCTAGAGTGGAGATTGACCAGGACACTGGGGATAACAACCTTATTCTTGTAAACTATCATGGGATCTGTAATGACCAAGTGGTGAGGTCCTCTGTTTAACACCTCAACAGGGAACAGCACCTCCTTCAGTACAATGTGAAACTCTGACTCAAAGAGAGGAGCACCACATACTTGCTCTCCAGCACCACCAACAGCAGGAGATCTGTCATCCCTGTACTGACCAGGTCTTGCATTCCTGAGACTTAGAGACTTAATACCATCCCTGCATGATAAGTTCAAAGTGGAATTGAGCCAGGTTAAGACCCCTTACAAACACCCATGGGATCTTTAATGATCAAGAAAGCAGGACCTCAGAGTGTATACTCTTTCAAATGATGTTACCTTTTTACAGTACAGTGTCCTCAGTCACCATACAGGGGCATAGCTCTGAAAGTTCCCTTCCAAAGGGAAGTGCACCCCCTACTGGTCCACATGTGCTGACAGCCAAGGTGAACCAGCTGGGCTTCAAGGGAGTTTCCACATTCTCTTCCTCTCGTTTGACTTGTATCTCTCCAATCAGCTGAATGGAGGTTTTCCATCCTTCTGCCCAGTACAGTACAGGGTCAGGATGAGCCAGAGTCTAACCCAACAGACATTGTGTGTCAGGAAGGATACAGAGTGCAAGGGATGCCTGTGCATTTACTTTCATCACAATCCCAA